TACTTTACTTGCTTATGAAGTTTATTAGTTATTTAGTTAGTTATCTATGACATCACGCCTTGTCTATCCCTGGTTATTTAGGCACATCTAACCTACGCTAACGTTATCAATTACCAGTTTCACGATGATAACGGTAAGTTGGAAGGCAGCCATTTCGCATTTAAATTTTTCAGAGGTTCACATTTCTTTCGTTCTTGGTCAGTGCTTGTGATGATGTCTCATGGAGTAATCTACTCCAACCTAAACCTTATCCGTTAACCCAGAACTTCCCACCCTCATCTAATGGGCCTCAAAACACCGTACAATTTATGTTTTTCCGGGAAATTGATTGTATTCATTGGTGAATCTCCCAAATAGACCACCTCTATTGTTCTACTTGTTTCTATACGCATTCTTATACGGCGGAAAGCGCATTGTTTCTGGAGTGACCTTGTGCATGCAATTTGCCAAATCGCCTTCTCTCGTGAGGACAATTCCTACACGTTGGCGTGATGAGTGTCCCTCCTATAGGTCCCATGGGTATGGGACCTCTGCTAAAGCGAAATTCCGGTCCTTTTATTCGATGAGGTCGCTCGGAAACGCGTGCGTCCCCCCAAAGCCAATATACTACCCGTTAGATTTCATTTAAGGACGTAGTCGGACAGCCTGACGGCTATGCAAAGGGGCAACTTAGTTTGAGTCCATTTATGTACCGCCTTCCGAATGTCCGTTGCTCAAAGGGTCCATTTCCTCAGAAAAAACCCTCACAAGTACATCAATATTATATTGTTGACAGGGAACAGGGATATATGGGAAACCGAATATCTAAACGACACCCTTGAAACTAAAAGCTATGCTCCGCCTATCCCTCCTTACCTCCGATATCTCAGTCAAACTTATCTAATGAATGCGGAGAGGAGAGCACGCACCTTGAGAATTGGGGCCCTCAATCCCCTCCCGCTCCTCACCCCGGAATTTTCAGTTTCCAGGGAGGCCTCTCCCATATAATGAACAGGACCCTCCGAACAACTACAGGACCCTCTGAACAAGTCAAATACGACCCCTCTCGCAGAGGATTCCAGAACCA